ATATATATATATATATAAAACAATAAATATAAAGAATTCTTATTATTACGAAAAAGTTGACTAGATTTGTTATCTCTCATAGATGCAACATCTACGACAATCTCTTTTCCACAAATTATGTGTAACTTATCCTGAAGCGCCTAATAATAATTTAAAAAATTTAGACGTAAAATAATTATTAATAATTTTACAATACTAAATATAAAAAGTATTATTTAAATTACTTTATCCATTGATTCTTGTTTTTCAAAAGAAACAAAACCAAATCCCTTATTTTTGTTGTTTGATAAATTCTTTGAAACATATATGTCTATTATTTTTCCATATTTTGAAAAATGTTTTTCTAAATCTCTTTTATTAGCCTCAAAAGGTAATCTAGTTGCAAATATTCGGGGATATTTTTTTAAAGCCTAATTTAAAAAAAAAAGAAAAGAAAATTTAATACCTTTTTTTTTTTTTTTTTTTTTTTCATTTTTTTCTTATCATAAAAATAAATGTAAAACATATGTGTGTGTCTAAAAAAAATAATTATTTTCTTTAATTTTCAAATTTAACGTAAAAATATTTCAATAAACATACTATCATTCTATATTTGTCGTTTATATATATAAAGGAAGAATCAAGAATAAAATTATAATGAAAATAATTAAAAATTTATGTTTATATTTTATAAAATAAAATATCCACAATAATTGAATTAAACTATATTTTATATAACAATGATTACTATTTACTTTCTTTTATTTTTAAAATTTTAAGAAAAACCTTAATATTTCGAATGAATATATATATATATATATATATAATCAATTAAATGTATATATATTTATATGAAGAATGTATTTTAATACATACCTCATTTGCATATATAATGTTATCATTTTTAATATCAATATTTGTTTTTCCGTAATCTTCATCATTTTTTTTTTCGTCTACATTACTTTTATAATTATATTTTTCTTTTAAAGACGATTCTGAATTCACTATATTAACTGATGTATAGGGTAATATATTATCTACATCATTTTTTTTTTTCTTTTTTATTTCATTATGTTTTAAAGAATTTATTTTCCTTTTTATTCTATTATCTATTTCATTTTCATGTTTACTTAAATAATTTAAGTCATTATGATCATTGTATTCATTTATTTCTTGAATAATTTCTTCATTATTTGAGATATCTATTAAATTGCCATCATTACTATTGTTAACGTCATTATTACAATCACTATCATTACCATTTCTTTCGTTAACCTTATTTTTATTATCATTATTTTTGTTATTGTTATTTACATTGTTAATACCGTTATTATTACTATTGATCCATTTATTATCATCAGAAACGTTATTATTGCTCTCATTTTTGTTATTAAAAATATACAACATATTGATATTTTCCTTATTGTTTTTACTTTCTTTTATATTTTTTATTTTAATATTATTATCTTTTAGAACATTGTTCTCATTAGATAATTTATCACAATTTTTTTCAGTAATTCTTAAATCATCCAAACAATTTCCTTCTAATTTTAAAAAAAAAATGTTACTATCTTTTGAATTCATGTCATTAATGCATTTTTTCTCATATTCTACATTTGATTTTAACATAGTAATATTACTATTATTTATTGATTTTTCATTATCTTTAAATAAGGAAATATTATTTTCATTTATATTTTCATTTAAATTAAAATTATATATATCTCCATTAGAATTTTCATTTTTATTAATTAAATAACTATTATTAATATCTTCAAAAGTTTCTTTTTTGTTAAAAACGAAATTTAATTCATCATTAAGAAGTCTTTTTTTTGTTTTCTCATTTAAGGAATTCATACTTAACTGTAAAAAAAAAAAAACATATACGCAAAAAAAAAAAAAAAAAAAAAAAATTAAAAAAGTATAGATTTTCAATTAAAAAAAAAGTTACAGATAAAAAAATATAATTTATTTTTATATTATAATTTATGCTTAAATTTAATGACAATATAATTTTTTTTTTTTTTATTAAATTAAAATAAAAAAAAAAAAAACTATTATTTTTTTTTTTACACAAGCAATTTGTTAGTATAATATTAAAATTATACAGATTCCATATATATAAATATTGTGTATAATTAACATATCACATTAAAATAAAATATATATCACTATATGTATAATGAGAACTTCTAATGCATGTTTGAAAAATGTTATTCATTTTTGAAGTGCAAATAAATTTAATATTTTAGTGGTAAAATGATTAATTCATATTTTGTTTCACTTATTTTTTAACTTTTGTAAAAACAAATAGGCACCTTTTTAATGTTATGTGTTTTAATAAAATGAGATTATTTTTTTTTAAAAATATGTAAATAATTTTCAAGACAAAATGTCTTAATGCATCCAAGATTTCGAAATTTATTCTTCTATTTAAAGTAATATCCTGATAAAATTTAGTCAAATATATATACCCCATGAAATTTTAGTTTTCGTTTAAGCATTTAGTATTTGTAGTTATTAAAAATTTATATAGAAGAAAATTTTTTTAAATTTTAATAAATTTTTTTTTTTTTTTTTTTAACTTATGAAAATGATGTATTTTAAGTAGTTACCAAAATAATTTTTAGTAAGATAATAAATAAAAAAAAAAATATAAAAAGCATATATTAAAGAAAGAAATATTTATTAAACATATATGATCAACACTATATAAAATTCCAATTTTTTTTTTTTAATATCATTTAATGTAGATAGAAACTAGAAATAAAAGAATTTATCTATTTAACTCTATGTTATTTCATCTTCATTGTAATTTCTACTTTTAACATTATTTCTGTTTTCATATAATTTACATTTTTATTCAAATTCAATAGACCTTATTTAACTAATATATAATTTAAAAATAGTTATATTATTCATTAAAATGAAATCATAAAATATTATTAAAGAACAAAATAATGGTGACAAATTCTAATATAATATAATAATAACTAATAAATCTAATAATAATCTTTATACAATTTTGATTATATAACTTTATTCTAAAAAAGTATTTTTAAAATATTAATATTTAAACTCATATTCATAAATTATGATTAAGTTTAAACTTTATAAATTAAAAAAATATTGAAGAAACATTTTTAACAATTTACATATTATATAACAATTAGAAACCTCGTCCTCCTCTTCTTATTGCTCGTCCTCTTCCACCTCTGTTATCTGTACCTCTTCCTCTACCTCTTCCTCTGCCCCTTCCTATATTTCTTAGTTTTTCTGTGTGTATAAAAAAGATAAACAAATTTTTAAATTATGAATATTCATATTTTTTTTTTTTTTTTTTTTTTTTTTCATATTTACGTTCAGTAGTTTCCTCAATGGCTTGTTCTATAGCTTGATCTTGAACTCGAATATATTTTATACTATTCCCTCTTACATAACATTCAGAAATTTTCCAAAATTTATCTCCATCTTTTGATGTGCATATTATATTTTTCATGTGTAAATTCATAAAACGATCACAAAATACTAAAAATCCACTATATGTTTCACCGTTTTTTAATTCAACCATCTACAGAAAAACATTGTTCATAAACAAAAGAAAACATATAAGTAATTATTTATTCTACTAATGTTAAAACACGTCTTAATGAAATCAAGAAAATAAAAAAAGAAATATTTTAAATAACAACTTTCATATATATTATCTCTATAATTTTTAAGTAATATAATTTCTATTAACTTACCACTGGTTGATTTTGAGAGCATTTTAATAATGTTAAAGGGAACTAAAAAATAAAATCAAAAAATATTTATGTTATCCTTTTAAAAAAAAAAAAAAAAAGTAAAATTCTATATAATTTTAATAAGATTCGAAAATATATTTTTAAAGCAGCTAGTTTATTATCATTGTATTATTAACACAATTATCCATTACAGTTATGAAAGTAAAATTTACATATCTTAGTTTAATATGTATATATATATTAAGAAAAATTGTCTTACCACCATAGCTGACTTCTTAATGTATATTAGTAAATATATACACTCTATGAAGAAAAAAATAAAAATAAAATTTTTATTAAAATATATTTTGTTATATTAAAAATCATGTAGCAACATGGCAAACAAAGAACATAAAGTAAGAATTAATCATGATTCGATCTTTCATCGTCTTTATAACTTATATATAAATATAATATTTCATTGTTTTGTTATAATTATTCTTACGATAACGTATTTTCTTTTAATTAATATTTCACAATTAAATATCTTGAAAAACTTCAATTTCAAATATTATAATAAACTACAAATTTAAATAATTTTTAAAAGTACTGCTAATTCATCTCTTGAAAAATAGTAGTTCTATAGGAAATAATACGTATCATTATTTAAAAAAAAATATATATATATTTAATACACATATATTACGCTATGTTTTTTAAAACTTATGTTAAAAAGGATTTAACTGAAATATTAAATATAAAAATATATATATATATATATTCTATTAAATATAATAAGGAAAATTAGAAATGCATATAGTAAAATAAATATCTAATTAAAATATTTCATTCTCCATTATTAAATATACAAAAAAGTTAAATGAAAAATAAAAAAAAAAAAATGGTTACATTAAATTGATACATAGGAAAATTAATTAAAAGAAAAATCTACTAAAACACTTTAAAAAAATAATATATAATAATAATTTTTTATAAATCACATATGTATTATCGTTAACTACCATGTATATTATAAAAAAGTTACCACTTAATGTATTTAAAGTTTTTTCTTTGCTTTATATTTAAATTTGCCAAAAAAAAAAAAAAAAAAAAAAAAAAATAGTATCAAATTAATTTAATATTAAATATTTATTTACCAAATAGTGTATTCATTGTTGGTTGAACAGTAATTTTAATAACTTATTTTTTTTTTTAATCTTTTTCTTTTTCATTCATATTACAAATAAAGATTAAAATGATTAAACATGAAAATGATTATATAATTTTATTATTTAATATCGTCCTATTTTATTTCTTTAATTTTATTTCATTATTTATTAAAGTAGTTTTTAAGTCATTATTGTCAATATAAATATTTAAAAATTTTTTTTTTTTTTTTATTCCATATATAATATTATGAAAATAAAATTATTATTTTTTTTTTTTTTTTTTTTTGATGGAAATAATATTTTTTAAAAAATAAAAATTAGTAGGAATCATTTTAATGAAAAATGTTTTGTTAAATATAAAATATTTTATCTAAAAAAACAAAGAAATTATCATAATTTAAAAAAATCTTTTTATAATAAAATGATAAAACATTTTAATGTAACATAATTATAGTATTGATTTTAAAGCTTTTCTAAGTTTTTCATTAGTTTCATCTTTAGTAGCACACATATTAGATTTTGTTTTATTTAAAATTTCAATACATTGATTATTTAGTTCTTTCCATTCTTCGTCTTCTAATTCTTCTAATTTCTTTTTATCACTTTCATAAGCTTTCATAAAATTTTCTGTTTCTTTGTAAAAGTCCTATAAAAATTATATATATATATATATATTAAAATTAAAATCTAGATTTTCCTTAATTTTTGAAATAACCTTAATTTTATTTTTATAATTGTTTGCTACATCTGCTAATTCAGATTTTAATTTCTGATACAATCTATGTTTTTCTTTTATATTTTTTTCATGCTTTGTGATGTTTTCCCTTAATTTTTTTAATTTTTCATCTCTTTCTTTTTCAATGAGATTTTTTTCTTCATTAACATTATTTATCAAATTAATTTTAGTATCTTCAACTAAATTATCTATCTCATTTTCGAACTTTCTTTTTGATTCTTTTGTTATTTTTTTTATTTGTTGAATCATCTGAAGAACATCTTCATCATTCTCGTAAAATTCTGCCATATTTGTAAATTTATAGAAACATATAATTTATAAATTTGTTATTATTTATAACCTTCTTTTTTTTTTTTTATAAAAAGAGTTGAAATAGAACAATGAATAAAAAAAATAAAAAACTAATGTATATTAATTGTTTATAATGTCTTTTTTTTTATACAAAAAACCTTATTTAAGTAAGTGAATAAAAGTACAAATTATTAACATTCTTAAATGTATTTACACAAAAAAAAAAAAAAAAAAAAAAAAGGAAAAGATAAAGAAAATTATTTAAAAAAATTATTTTAACAAATAGACTCAATATGAAAATAAAATTTTTATTCTATGAACAGTAAAGTTTTAAGAATATCTATATATATACATTAAAAAATAACAGAAACACAGTTTAATAAACTTAAAAATATATTAATTTTAATTAAAAAAAAAAAAAAAAAATATCCTTAAGTTCCATCCATAAAGGAAATTAATGCATCTTCCGCTTTTGTATTTGCCTGAGAAAAATTATAAAAAAAAAATTCATTATTCTAAATAGTACCATTTTAAAATTTTATAAAAATTGTTTCACTTATATTTATAATTTTACTTGATCGTACAACTTAGACAAAATATTCAAAATTTTTTGAAAACTAGGTCTTTTACGCTTATCTCTATTAATGCAGCTTTTTATTAAACTCTAAAAAATTTTGTAAATTTTTGATAAGTCAATTTTATATTTATTTGTTTATTTTCTTATTTAATATTCTTACTTGTATAGGAATTGGAATATTATTAAAAGACAGTTCTTCTTTAGCATATCCAACTGAAGCCTATTAATTAATAAGAAATAACATAAACTTATGAAAAATTAAAAATATATACATATATATATATATATATGTATGTGTTAAAAAATGTATTATCTTCCAATTAATAAAATAAAAAAAATACCACCAAATGGGATTTAAAAGGATAATTGAAAGGAATATTATTAGATAACTAAAAAAAAAAAAAAATAAGAAATAATTTGAAAAAAATATTATTTTTAATAATCATTTTTTTTTTTTTTTTATTTAACCATTTCCCAAAGAATGATTCCAAAGGCATAAACATCAGAGTATAAATATTTACTTGCTTTTCCTCTTAGTACCTATAATATTTAAAATATTTTTATTTCATAAAAGAAGAATATATATAAATGAATACATATTTATTTATTTTTATTTATTACTTCAGGTGGAGTCCAATAGGAAACATAAGAATAATGATTACTTGGTGAACCATAAATTAGTTTAGTATTATACTCATTCACATTATTTTTATCATCATATATATATAATAAATCATTAGAATTTTTATTAACTATTTTCATTTCTTTTACTCTTTTATTTAAATGTTTTTTGTTAAATTTTATTAATTTATTTGATAAAACAACATAAGAATAATCAATATTTGTATCAAGACATTTTTCAATTTGATGTATTCCGAAATCAGATATCTTTGCATTCAAGGATTCATCTAATAATATATTAGTTGGCTTTAAATTTAATGGGTATAACTAAAACAAAAATAAAAAAAATTTTCAAAAAAAAATAACAAAAAAAAAAAAAAAAAAAAAAAAAAAAAAAAAAAA